GGAGTGAGAACCTGGTAAGACATGCAGGAAGTCAGTGGATGCAAGTGGCTCAGGACCGTGCTTTGTGGCGTTACTTGGGGAGGCCTATGTCCAGCAGTGGACTTGTGAAGGGCTGTAATGATGATGATGATGATGATAATGTTATTTTATTCTTAAGGTAATAAGACTACTAGGGTTGCAAACTTTTATTTGAGAAAAAAAATTATTTACTCCTTTGAGTACGAAAAAAGTGTTTGTTGCTCTAATTTCTTATATTTATGCTTTTAGCACATTTTAAAAATTATTGTTATCTTAAAAGCTTTACAAATTAAGTTTAGATTTAAATACATAAATAATTAATTTTTATTAAATTTATGAACGATGTATTTCTCTCTTCTCGCAACTTCACTTTCATCACCGAAAAAAACTCTTTCAGTGCAAGCCGTGGTTCCTGATTCCGGTGACAAAAAGTAAAAAAGAAATATTTTTTTTTATATTTGGCAAGTTGACTTCAAAAAACGAGGAAATTCTCATTTCAACTGTATTTTTTTATGTGTTATCTCAGAACTATTTTCTAAGTGAATCGATTTTGATGATTCTTTTTTATTTTATTTAAAAGCTAGTGCTTTTTTAGCGGTCCCATATAAATTTTATCAAGATCTGACCAGTAGTTTTTGAGTTATGCTTAATAACGCGTTTGTTGTATTGTAAATGACTTCGACTTCATTGATGCTGTTCTCATTTTATTTATATTATAGGTTGTACTATTTTTTTTATTTACCACTTGATCAGTAGTAATTTCCTCCGAAAATTCTTTGTCATTATAAAATAGATTTTCTTTGGATATATTTATGTATCATCAACTTGGAATATGAAACATCCGTCTTAATATTAAATCAGTCTTGTAATTTTATGTTTATAATTATCGTTTTCAAATGTTTAAATTCAACTTCATATTTAAAGAACCTACCTATATTAGGAAGTAATGAAAGCCAGTTGTCTCCACTAAAATCGAACCATTGTTTCAAATAATTTAGGAGTATGACTGTATGATAATTTAAGAAATTAGTTTTAGTTTTTGTTTTATTATGTCACAGCTGTGAAGGGACCACATACTCGTAGTAGAGGCGCACTGAAGTTGTTCAATATTGATGCACCATAGGAGAGAAGAGCTATTCACGTGGCGGGGCCATTTCCAGAAAGTGAAAGTAGTAACAAGTATTTCATGGTTGTGATGGATTACTTCACTAAGTGGCCAGAAGTATTTGCCATTCCAAATCAAGAAGCTTCAACAGTTGCAGATAAACTATTTCATGAAGTCTTCTGTCGTTTTGGAGTACCTTTAGATATTCACAGCGATCAAGGAAGGAATTTTTGAGTCAAATATTCCAGGAAACTTGTCGAGTTATGGGTCCTCACATAACAAGAACGATTTCTTACCACCCGCAATATGATGGAATGGTGAAACGATTTAATCAAACATTGTAGAGGTACCTAGCAAAAGTTGTGGAATATCGGCAATAAGATTGGGACAATCACATACAACCGTTTTTGTTGTCATATCGAAGCGCTGTTCATGAAAGTACATCAGTGACACTAGCTTTCGCAAACTTTGGATTCTTTTTTTTGGAGAATTACGGCTACCTGCTGACCTAATCACCGGGATATCACCTGATGCCCCACGCAGTACAACCGATTATGCAAATGATTTGCGGAACAAAATGAATGACATTTTTGAGCACGTCAGACAATCAGGCCAGCAAATATCTGAAAAAGATGAAAACCCGGTATGAACGTAAAATGACCAACAAGTGGTTTGACGAAGGTTCATTAGTGTGGTTGCGCAATCCAGTCCGCACCAATGGCAAATCTCCTACGTTTCAAGCTAAATGGGGGACCAACGACCGTGCCGGATTGTGACAAGCATAAATGACGTAACCTACGGGATATAAAAGGTGCAAGAGGTACGCCTAAGATCGTTCATGTGGATCGACTGGCGCGTTACTATGGAATCGATAATGCTCTGGACGAGCATGTCTTAGGATGGGGCAGTGTTGCGCGTCACAATTAATGCCCGGTATACGATGGGAGATTTTTTTAAAACTCTTTCAATAGCGCCATCTTTGATAGTAATAATAGTTGTTATTTATTTGAAAAAATATGGTAGTTGCAGGATTAATAATCTAGTATCGAATAGAAGAACTAAGCTTTCTTGAAAACTACACACTCGAATTTTCTACATCTAGTCAGTTGGGACCGGTATTTGCTGCAACATTCTAGATGTTTCGGGGGAAAAGGCCTATATAAAGTCGTTAAGAGCCGCGACCGAGGCAGTATTGAATTGGCAATACAAGCGAAGACTTCGGAGCGAAATAAAGTGAACTAAAGTGTTAAGTGTGATTAATTATTAGTGTGTATTAGTTTTAATTGGTGCTTGGTAATTAAAGTATCAATTTTGGTAATTCAATCGGCAGTTTTATTGTCACGAACCCTAAGCTCGTAACAATATATCCTGAGCGGG